AGCTACTTGGGAGGCTGAGGAGGGAGGATTACCTGAGCCCAGGAGATAGAAGTTGCAGTGAGTAGAGTTTGTGCCATTGTACTCCAGCCTGGGCAACACAGTAAGACTCTGTCTCAAAATATATATATACATCAATTTTTATATTAAAGTCCATGTTCAGTTTCTGACTTGTATATGAATTACTCTTTGCCTCATTTTTACTTTATCTACTGTTTCACTAATCATTCCTAACTCTTGTGTGTGTGTTGTCATTTTAACCCGACGTTTCGCTTGATGTTTAAACCTCTTTTGCTTGTTTTTTCTTTCATTGCTCAGGTAAGTGTTACCTTCCACTTTTATGTTTAAATGTGATCTTTTTCTTGTTTTACGAAGGGCGGTTGAGGAGGCATGCTGATAAAGGGATCATCTGAAGGCAGTCCTGCTCTTGGGAGGATGTGTTTTCTCTTGCTGAGGGTACTTCCTAGGGGAGAGGGTAAGGGGAGGCAGAGCCCATTCTAGGCACGTTCCTTCACTTTGTTTCTTTGTAAGTAAAGAAATAAGGAGCACTGAGTCAGGAAGTGAGGCAAACCATGGGCTGATGGAAGCCCTGTTGGGCTACTGGAGAATGAAGATTCTATTTTCTGCTTATAACAGTGATTTTTGCAGAAGTATCTACATACCAGTACCAAAACCATTACTACAGCCTATTTCTGCATAGACAGCTGCTTCTTGGCTTTCATTGTAAGTGAAGAAAGTAGAGGAGACCTAAGAACAAGAGGCTCCTCTTGTAATCCTCCCCAAAGATGGTAATGTGATCCAAAAAGCGAATGCAAAGGAAGAAAGCAAAGAGAAAGGAAGGAAGGAAGGTAAGGTTGGAGGAAAGGAGGAAAGAGGGAGGGAGAGAAGGCAGAGAAAATAAAATGGATTTCATGCAATTTTTTGTTTGTTTGTTTTGAGACAGAGTCCTGCTGTGTCGCCCAGGCTGGAGTGCAATGGCACGATCTCAGCTCACTGCAACCTCCACCTCCTGGGTTCAAGCGATTCTCCTGCCTCAGCCTCCCAAGTAGCTGGGATTACTGGCGCCCCCCACCATGCCTGGCTAATTTTTGTATTTTTTAGTAGAAACAGGGTTTCACCATGTTGGTCAGGTTGGTCTTGAACTCTTGACCTCAGGTGATCCACCTGCCTCAGCCTCTCAAAGTGCTGAGATTACAGGCGTGAGCCATCGCACCCGACCCAAGTGTTTTTATATCAGCTTTCTTATTGTACAGACTAAGACAGAAAAAAGAATCAACCACCTTAGCCTGGAATCCCTGAAAAATAAACTCCAGTGTCTATGCTTAACAGTGGCTTCTCAACAAGGGAAGTGGGGGGAATTTTGCTCTCCAAGGGACATTTGGCAATGTCTGGGACATTTTTGGTTGTCATAACTTGGGAGAGGCTGGAGAATGCTACTGCCATCTAATGGTGAAGCTAGGGAGTTGCTAAGCCCCCTACATGCACAGGACAGCCCCTTGCAGACAATGCAAATGATCTAGCCCTCAAGGTCAGTAGAGCTGAGGTTAAGAACCTGCTATAGGCCAGGCGCGGTAGCTCATGCCTATAATCCCAGCACTTTGGGGGACGGAAGGGGGCGGATCACCTGAGATCAGGAGTTCGAGACCAGCCTGGCCAAAATGGCGAAACCCCATCTCTATTAAAAATACAAAAATTAGCTGGGTACTGTGGCACGTGCTTGTAATCCCAGCTACTCAAGAGGCTGAGACAGGAGAATCATTTGAACTCAGGAGGCAGAAGTTGCAGTGACCTGAGAGCGCACCACTGCACTCCAGCCTGGGCGACAGAGCAAGATCCTGTCTCCAAAAATAAAGAACCTACTATAATGAGTTTTCCCGACAATCTTCCCCTTACCTTCCAATACTTCTAGGCTCGACCACCGGATGAACATACAACATCTCCTCGGGTAAACACAGTGTCAGTTCCAGTATCCCAGTCATCTCCGTGGTATCACTTTTCTCCACATCTTTCCTAGGCTGAGGGGCGTAGACCTGGATTTTCTTTTCCCAGCATTCATTTTCTTCCTCTTGAATGTTCGATTACTCAATCAATCAACTGTCATGAAGAATGTACAACAGGCCTGGAGAATGTGCAGATTTGCTCACTACTCTCTCAAAGCAGGATGAACTATCCGTGTTTTGGTAGAGCTGAACAAACCCACACTGTCCATCTCAACAGGCCACTTAAGCCCCCAGCAGCCCGGTCCCCAGAAGACACTCAGCTTCCTTAGGGCAATGACACCATTTGTCCAGACCCAGCAGGCCCCTTGTGACTGCCTTCCTCCATGAGTTCCAAACGTCCCTGGTGGCTCTTTCAACTTACGAATTTGAGGTGAAAGAAGAAGAGAAACAAATGTCTTCATGGGAGGGGACGAAGTGTGGCGGTGAAGAGCGAGGGTCCTGCAGCCAGATGCCTGCATTCGGCTCCCAGCTCTGCCATGCATTACCTGGGAGACTTGGCCACCTTCTTTAACCACTATGTGCCTCAGTTTCCTTATTTATAAGGTGGGAATACCGTCAAGGTTCCCTAGAGGATCAAATGAATAAGGATAAGGAAAGCACTTAGAACAGTATAAGGCACAAAGCACCTGTGTGGTAAAGGGTGGACATTATTAAAGGGAGACAGGTCTTCAAGTAGGAGCCAAGAAGTGAATGTTCCCATCACTAATACCAACCTAAAATAGCATTAGTCCAAATGTATCATGCACGTGGTCAGCATAGCCAAAGGTTGCCTCACTGCAAGGTTAAAGAAGAAGCTAAACAAATTTCACTTCCTTACAAGGGCAACAGGACTGGACTCCATCCTTCTTGACGTGGATTGTTTCCTCTTTCCTGTTTAAGAATGAGCACATTGGGTGCAATTCTCCAAGGCTCCCCACTGGTTTATTCTTCCCTCCTGGCCTTTGCCCTTAGAGAGGTTTATAGCCTTCTCCCCAATAACTCAGTACATAGTCATTAAGAAGCACGAGTAAAATGGGATTTTAATGACTTCATTAAAGGTAATAAATATGTCTATGCCCTTAAGGTCATATAAAACAAAATAGTTTAAAAATCATTGGCCATAGTTATATTTTTCCACGAGCTGAGTTTTAAAATAGTATAAAGTCTGTGGTAAATTAAGAGAGATTTCAGCCCACTAACATTCCTAAACCGTTCTAAATGGGTCAGGAATTCAACTGGAATATCTATGGGTTTTTTTGTTTCTTCTTATTTCCTGATAATGCCATATGTTTTATAATTTAGCATCTTATTAAGGAGGTAAGAGCCTTAAAACTTTTAAAGTCAATTCTTGTTTTTAACTATATAAATTATTTTTAGTGGAGAATTTGCTTATTATTATTTTGACAGAATGCCTACATTCATTTTAAGATTTAGGGGATTATTGAGCTACTCTTTTTCGTATCTCCAGCATATCAAGCAGCATCTGGAACAGAGAAGACATTTTCATTTATGTTTATTAAATAACCAAAACATACATATGAATTAGCAAATAAACTATAATAAAGGCAATAGTTAGGGCTTCTTTTAGCATTTCCTTTTGTCTTTAAACTAGTTCCTTTTATAGAAACTACTCATTATGGCTGGGCACAGTGGCTCACATCTGTAATCCCAGCAATCTGGGAGGCCCAGGCGAGTGGCTCACCTGAGGTCAAGAGTTCGAGACCAACCTGCCCAACATAGTGAAACCTCGTTTCTACTAAAAATACAAAAAAATTAGCCAGGCGTGGTGGCAGGTGCCTGTAATCCCAGCTACTCCGGAGCCTGAGGCAGGAAAATCGCTCGAACCCGGGAGGCGGAGGTTGAGGTGAGCCGAGATTGTGCCACTGCACTCCAGCCTGGGCAACAAGACTAAAATTCTGTCTCAAAAAAAAAAAAAAAAAAAAGGAAAGAAAGAAAAGAAACTAGTCATGACAATAGTTTACTTGCTGTAAGAATCACATTGAACATTAAACCTTTCCATCTTCATTTTCATAACATCTCTTTGACTTGGGGAAGGACAAATGACTCTTTACCTGCAGGGTGAACTATTACATTCCCCGAGGCACTGACCACGACTCAGTCTAGCATAATCAGAACCCCATCCAACCAACCTAATATGTCGTGTAAAGGGCACAGTCTGGCTTCTGAGAGAGATGGATCTCAATCTCATCGCTGCTGCTTCTTAACCCCTCTGAGCCTCAATTTCTTTTTGTATCCAAGGGGAACAATAGTGATTTTGTCGAGATGAGGTATGCGAAGTCCCTGGCGCGCAGTGAGCACTCAGCAATAAGTGTTATTTATTGGGCCAAGATTCCAACTACTTTCATAAAATAGCAGGAAAGTCAAATGGAAAGCCGACTTGATGGTAGGGGAGGCTTCTACCCACCAGCTAATTCCATGTTTCTCAACCCTGCACTGAATGTTAAAATCACCTGGGGAACTTTTGAAAAATTATGATGCCTGGTCCCAACCCCATGGAGCCTGGTTTAAATGGGGACAAGATAGCTATAGGTTTTTCAAGTTTCTCCAGGGGATTCTAATGACCACCCAGGGTGGAAAAGCCTGGAGCTAACGGGGGTGCAGGACCAGTGTCCTCATAGGAAGTCAAAGGTTTGGTGGTAAACGACCACTGAAGCACATTTTCAAGGTGAGATCCATTGGAATGCATATTCCTGTCCTTAAACTCAATCTAGTGTAAAATGATGGGTATCTTTTAATAAGACCTTCAGCACGGGTTCTAGAGCCGCCTGTTCTCATACTATGTGTCTAATTAGCAGCCATATATTCAGTTAAGCACAAAATTTATCGAACCCCTCCTATATGCCAGGAATTGTGCTATTCTTCTGGGGTCCGGAACTGCGGGTAACACGGTCTTTGCCGTCATTTCCGGTCTAGTGAAGGAGATAGAGGAGACTGACAGTTCTGTGTGACAGACAGTAGGAGACGGATCACTAAAACAGGCTCAGGAGGGAGAGGGCCTGACAGGACATCCAGAGAAGGTGATGACAAGGAATTAACCAGGCAGAGAAGAGAGATCCAAAGACAGGATTTTGGTGGCTCGAGTGAGGAGGAGTGTTTGCCAGTTTCATAAAACAACCATAAATTAATATTGCTTTATATTTAACTTACCAGTTTAAGTCAGTGGGCACCTTTTGTACATTTAAGATGAAAATTAGGATAATAGGGGCTTAGAATATTCCTACATGGCAACATCTCATTAATTGAATTTCCTGGGATGCATGTGTGACAATGTCCCAACATAGCATATTAAAGGGGTTGAGTGAATAACTTTTAGTATTGCTTCTAACTATTTTAAAGTTCTAGAACAGAAGTAGAATGGTTTTGCAAGTTGCCTTTCTCTCACTTTATTTCTGCTTTTCTATTTATATAACAGACTAATTAAGGCACATTTTGTGTGTCTGTCATTGTCTATATATGAGATAGTCAGATTCATGGAAATGTCACTTGCGGTCTGAGTGTAAAATTAAATCTCTGGTAGTTGGCCTATTGACAGCTCTGGTTTTAACCAGTTAGACAGAATGACTTAAAAATATATTACTTCTTATGCTCGGTGGCATTTGACTATAGAATTATTGCAATCTAGAGATTTGGGAGGGATATCAAAACATTTCAGAATTGATACTTGGCTTACAATACACATAAATTATGTGTTTCTATTTTCTCATTTCCTATGATCATAGCGCTAGAGTGCTCAAGGGGTCAGCCTTTTCCCCCTCCAAAAACCTCATGCTTAAAGATGCTTTCAGAGCTTTCAATAAAAAGCACTCTTGATAATAAACTAAAATATTTCCTTCTCTCAGATCATCTGTATGTTTTTAGCTTTGAGAACTAAAAAGCACTATTCAATGCAGGGTATGAAATCAGTCAGTATTCTCTCCTTTAAAATCCAAAATTAACTAAAAATAAACAAACACATAAAAGGAGAATTTTTTGGCTCTAGGGATAGTACTAGCTTAGGCAAGGATGAACACAGACCCTCAAATGTCTTCATGACCCTTTCTGTGTGCCTCTATCTCTTGGTTCTGTTGTCTTTGTTTTCTAGCAGGATCCTTCTACACAGAGGAAACTGAATACATTTCATGACCTTTTAATGGGAAACCCACTCTCAGTGAAGCTTTCCAGTCCCCCAAAAGAACTCCAGTTGGTTCTGGTTGGGTCACATGCCCACTCTGGACCAATCATTACGTTTAGAGAAATGAGGCTTTCTGATTGACACTTAGCTCGACCACCGTGGTTGGACAGCACACTTGAAGGATGTACCCATCAGAATCACATGAAGAGGCACAGAAAAGTTCCCTGAGAAAAGAATTGAGGCAGATAGACTAAGAGTCGGCCAATACTGGTAATCATGTTATTATAAGGTTTCTCTATTTCCTCCTTCAAAATTTGAATATTTCCACTAGATAAAAATGAAGATTTAATTTGAAATATTAATGAGATTCTATAGTTGGCATTTCCTCTTTTTAAAGTCCTTTCAGCTACTGACATAGTTCCCTTCAATGAACAATTGGCTTTTTCTATTACATTACAAAATTCTCTTTGGTTAGTCAACTGTCTGAGGCAACTGTTAGAAGCTCATATTACTAGTGCATCAGAAAAATAATTATAGTTTAAAGTAGAAATAAGTTAACCAAACCTAATCAGCTTGAATTTTTTGTTTCTCCAGAGAGCCAGATAGGGGAAGAAGGAGAGAAGTTTGGAAATTATGAGCAATTTCACTTTTGTTCTCTCCACTATATAAGACTTCTATGAATAGTTGCTACTGTCTTTTATTTCTGTGTAGTTATTGCAATTTGAAAGCATTCATTTCCACTCAAGGAGCCTCCAACAAGGTAGAACTACTTGTGGAGGTCATTTTGATCTAAGGTTGGTCCTCCGTTTTGAAGATCTAGAAGTTTGATTAATTTTTCCCCAGTACATTCAAACATGATCACTATCTCCAGATCAGCCTGGTACCAAACTCACAGAAGGAACCTGAACATCTTTCTTGAAGACGAAGGAGTGGCTACTCATTCAGGATATTAGAAGAGTAGAACAATAGTCTAGGTTGGAGATTGCGAGGGCCTCTACACACCAGAGGTAAAGGGGTTAAATAAGGGAGAATGAGAATGGAAAGTGGTAAGAAGATAGAATTGGGAGGGCTTGGTCACTATTAAAGTTTATGAGAGGGAGCTTTCAAGAAAGATGTCCAGGTTCCTTCTGTGAGTTTGGTTCTGCCTTGTTAGAGGCTCCTTGAGGCCTTTTCTTACGATGCAGAGAGGTAGTATAATGGAGCATCAATGTCGTGTTTTAATTATTATTTCACAATATAAGAAGACAACCTGTGTGTCCATCTATGTGATACTTGAATCATTACCACAAAATCTCCAGCTTAGCCTACGTAGCTATGAGACATTCACCAACTAACTCAAGAGACAGCTGATTCTTTTTTTGAATAGTTGACATTTAGGATGTTCTTCTTTATATTGATCTCATATCTATCGCACTATGCCTTCCATCCATCGATGAAGAATCGCATCTGGGCCTGGTAGAACAAGCCCAAATCCTTTTTCATAGGACAACCCTTCAAATTCTTCAAGATGGTTATCGAGTTCCCCTTCATCTTTGCTTCTCCAGACCAAACTTTTCCTGTTTTACTTTATGAGTTTATGTAAAGAAAATAAATCGAAATTAGAAATAGAATTGGACAATAATATGGAGGCTGCCTATTGTAGATGAAGCAGTGAGCTCAGTTCCAGGGATAAATAGGACGGAAAGCTTAGTGGCTGTCTTTAACACATTCACAGTCTAGTGAAGAAGCCAATGCATAAGTGGAAAGAATAATAAAATGTGCTAAGTGCAGTTGCAGAGATTAAAAGAAAAAAGATGCTGTGCAAATATGATGGAGGAGACAGTTCTGCCTGCAGCAGTCAAGGAATGTCTGGCAAAGGAGGTGAAGTGTGAGCTGAATCTTGAAAGGCAGATAAGAATGGGGCAGGTGACTATGGCATGGAGCTGGGCAGGGAAGTGGGGGAGCTTCTGTGTGGTCCTCCACAAAGAGGGAGCACAGGCACATGCAAAGGTTAAGAACAGTGTGCTCACGGAACTGCAGGTCAGCCAGGTGCTGGATGCGCAAGTGGTAGGAGGAACAGGAGGAAGGAGATGACCCATGGCAGGCAGGAAGCCGCACATCTCCTTGTAGGTCATGGCAGGTTTGCTTGACAACATGAAAACAGCTATCTGCTAGCCATAAAGACCCACTGGATGATTTTAAGCCTGGAAATGACACTGTCAAATTTCAATTTAGTAAAATGCATCAGGTGGCTGCATAGAGAGATGATGATGGCATGAGGGGACAAGGGGCAAAACAGAAATGATCAGGGCATAGCAGTACTTAGGCAATGGAGGTGGAGAGGCAAGGTGTAGACCCACATTGTCACACAGGTACAGTACATTCAGTACTTGAATGGATGTGAGTGAAACAAATGGTCAGAAAGATTTAAAAATAAATGTCCTTAAAGACTCCAACTTTTTCAGTCATCTCATGTCATACTCTTGCCCATCTCCTCACCATTTGGTTACATATTGATGGAAACTAGTGAGCCTTCTCCCACAATTTCACTGCAACCTATTCTTCCTCATGGTGCAGTGATCTTGCAATAATAACGATGTCACTATTTACATTGTGGTGCCATCTTAAACTGCAATTAATTCACAGTTCCAGGCTATTAGGAACTATTGTCATAACAGCTATGGCTTCCTTTATCTGCAAATGCTGAGTTGTGAGATATATAATTATATGCGACAGTAATTAGTTTTAAATTTATTTTTGTAATTATACTAATTGAACATGGATATGAATTTAAAAGTATGAAGGGCATGGCATCGAGCCTGATGCAATGTCTTCATAAGAGGTAGATGAAAGAAATGATTGTTATGAGTAGGTGAAAACAAATCTTGCTCATTTGTAAAAGTGCAGTGTAAATACAATGACCCATGTATCCCCTCCCGGTTGAATGCCAGCATAGTACGGTTGCCATGTGGAGTCTTCATGAGACCTCATTTGAAACTGGGCCAATGCCCAAATCAAGGGGAGAGCATCCTGGCTGCTGCTGCGACTTAAGACCTGCAGCATTCCCTTGGACCTCCCCCATGAATATTTGAAATTTCCCTAGAAGACATGCCCAGTAGGGTCTAATCTCACCACTCTTGCATACCCAGGGCCTATGATTCCCACTATTCTTCAACTTCTAGCAAACATCCATTGGTGATCTCTCCAAGCCCCACATCCTAAGATCCCAATTGTCTGCAGTATCTGTCCAGCCCTGCCCTGGCAAACCCCGCAGCCTTCTCCTGGTGGTGGCAGTGAGTTCTAGAGAACAGAGCTGCTTAATCTCCCTTGGCTCAGCTCCTTTATATGAGCCCATCTGCTCTTCAATTCTGTGTAGATCACAGCCAAGTCCAGCCTTTGTATAAAACACTTGGGGCCCCAGACCAGTCAAGAGGGAGGAGTAGGCAGGTTTTCCGCTGCACATCTTCCTAGATGAGCTCTACTGTATAAGCTGATAGACCAAGGATTACATCAGGCCCTTTAGTATATCCATCAGCAGCAACGTGCCATAACCACTGAAACTCTAATAACGGCCCCCCAGGATGCATTTGTCTCCTACTTACCAGTTCATGTCTTGTAAACCCTTAGGTGTCCAGTGATAGGTGCCTAAGCATAATCATAGGAGGATACCAGGCCAATGAGAATTGGCAGACTCAGGCACTAACAAAATATAGTACTTGTTTTGAAAAATAGGAAAAGAAAATCTGCTTGATCAAATTCTTTTTTTCTCTAGGAAAATGTATTGCTAAGCAAAACAAACAGGCTTTACCACGTGAAAATAAATACCTGCAACTTGTTCCTCTTTAAGTAAATTAGGAAGCAGTAACAAGGATCCAGTTTCAGCTTTGCTCATCAGCACCATGGACACGTACGTGTTAGTATTGACAG